ACAAAGCTGTTCAAAACCATGCTTCAGTAATTTGGAATAAAGCTCAGGAACATAAGCTCACTTTTTAGATTTTTAAATTGCTTCCATTTTAAGTACAGTCTTTTGCAAACATCAATAACAGAGACCCGGAGCAATATGATATTTCACTCTGTTGGAAACCCTAAACATGTCATTAGCATAACAAATATCTCAGATCTTAGTTATCTGCACGTTTGCGAATCCAGTTATAAATAAGCTAAGCACATTGCTAATACTATAGGTGTTTCTTTACACAGACATTATTCGATAGAAAATGTACATTACAGCCTCTTTTGTTTGCTGATTAATACCTGTACTTGTGTAAAACCATAGTCCAAACCCCATACTGAAACCTTTTGACACAGTGATTTTAGATGAATAAAATAAATGCTTTAGTTCCTTTGTTATTTTTTTATTTCAATCTAATCAAATCATTAAATTATTTCCATTAATAGAGTCAGTTAAAGGGAGAGAAAACATACACTTTTATTGAAGAATTTTCTTGAATTTCCCTATTTTTTTGTTGTTCATATACAGTACTTCAGGGATAATGTCACCCGCACTTCAATGTGTAATTGCACATTGTGATTAATGGCACTACCAGTGAGTATTACAATTTGTGTTTGTAGCAAAAACTGTGTCACAAAGCATTTTTTAAGGACCCTATGCAGACGATAAAATCTGGAAGGGAGTGAGACAAACACGGGGAAAAAAGACTAGGAGCGGGGCTGGAAGAAGAACAAGGGGGCATGTCAACAGTACGCTGGTGCGCTGGGGGGCGTGGTCCAAAGCAAACAAGTCCTAAGGGAGTCCGTAGGAAAATTCAGGGAATGCAATTGTCCATCCATGACAGAGACGAGACAAAGTTAAAAACTGGAGCTGGATCTGGCGAAGGGTAGGGGGAATAAAAAGGGGTAATGGGGCCAGGCGCTCCCAGCTCCGGACCCAGATGGTCAGGACGCCGCTGTGAAGTCTATGCTGTTGTCTATACAGTACGTCCATCTTCCAAAGCTGAGCCTGGAATGGTAGGAGCGTCTGGCTTTTGTAGGGAAGGGCTGGAATAGGAGGCAGGTGCAAAAATCAAGACAAAGAAGGAAAAGCAGGAGAGTCCTTAAGAGGAGGGGCTTACGATCATGACACACTGTAGAGGGAGCATCCACTGATAAGAAGAGGGCAATGAAAGCTGACAAAATGCACTCTCCAGGCACCAGAATAAAATGTCTCAAAATGTCTGTGTGCTTCAACATTGCAAGAATCCTATGACACAGTATCTTATTTTACAGCACATAATTATACAAAAAAAGTTTATAATTCTTGCTTGCTCCTTTGTTGTGTATTTAATTTAGATTTTTGATTTTGGTATAAAAAGCCTCTTGGATTTTTCTAGGGTATTTATACTCTTATTGCCAGTTCCCATTTGATGGTGATGCTGTGACTATGAAACTAATTTTCGTAACACCATTCATAGTCTGCTAAAGGCAGGTTCTCAGCTGGCTGTTATTTCACATCAGGAGTCAAAAAGCATGGCATGGTCATATATTTATTTGTTGAAATTGAATATATCAATATTAACTACTGTGAAAGTAAGGCCCATGACTGAACCAGATGGAAGAAGAATATTTGGAATAGAGCCCAGAACTTTGAGGCCCAATGGTGTCAAACAAGCAAGCAAAGTGAGATTGTCAAAGACAGCTCACCATGACTAGACTACTCAGGATATGACCAGTTATTTCCACTAGAGAACACTTGCTCAGACTGCAACAGGCTGCCAGACTGTGCAGAGACAGTACCTTATCGGCCTTCTTCAACCTTCAACCACAAGTAATAGTCAATTAATTAAAGATGCTCTGTGAACATAAAACAAAGTGGTCAGGCCTGACTTGAGATCCTGTAAATTATGACTTTAATAGTAGTCAGCACAGCCACTTGTTAGCTCTGAGATACCACAGCAATGAACATTTTTTACTGTACATGTTTTTGTCACTTAAAAAAGCACAAGAGGTGTCATTGCGAGATCTTGTACAGAAAAACACCATGTTTATTCTAAGTCATACAGTTCAAACATGCAGTTTAGAGTACAATAAAAGGTAAATCACTTAGAATTGATGACATCATTTTGGAGGGCTGTGAAATTTATTTGCAGTATCTCTGGTACTGAAAAAAGACATAGATCCTGCAATTTGACCGAGTTGTTGTCCCATATCTTTGCTTTACTTGGATGTTAAACTGAGTGATAAAGAGTTGCCAAGTTTGGCTGGAGGGCTATATGATCAAGTTAGTACTTTTATCTGTATCTTATAATCATTTCTCCTTCAACACCATCATTTTCTATTCTGCACCCTGAAAGATCTGTAGGGGCACTTGCAAGACCAAATTATACTGTAGATTTAACTTCTACTAATTTGTTTTGCCGCGTCCGTTCAGTTTAATCCTGACATTCCTTGATCTTGGTGTTCACTTGAGGAAAACCTGGTGTCTCCCTATGGACTTCAACATTCAATTGATTTTAATGCTACATTTAGACATTGAAGATTGCCTTTTTACCCAAGGTTTCTACAATAATGACTAGTGTACTGTAGGTGTGAGTGGAAAGATGCATCAATTCCCAGAAAACTTGACATTGCCACTCTCCAATATGATATAATCATAATTTTATTTCTTGACATTCACATTTGAGCAGATATTTTTATAGAGGATGGTCTTCACTAGGATTACAGTCTACCATACTCTACTCTCTACATGTTTTACTTGTGTCTTTGTTCTGCAGTTCATGTCTCTGGGAGTACACAGTACACATACCCAGTTACCCAGTGCATAAACAGCTAAACATCATTGAAAAACCAAAAGGATAGCTTCCTCTATTTCTGCTTTCCTATGACGGTCTTCGTGCACCACTTAATATTTCTTCACAGAGCATATCTGAACTCTCATTGATGGTTTCATATAAAGCTATGTGCTATCCCCTTGTGTACTGTAGCGCCCTCATCAGGCAATGCAGACAAGCAGTGAGGCTGGTGATGTCAGCCCCAGGAGAGCATGCTGGGATAGATGGGAACTTGTCTGGGACAGTTGGAAGCTATCAGGGACATGCTAACTCCTGGGTACTTAGGGGGAAGGTCAGGAGTTTTTGTTCACGGTATTTAGGTGTACACAGCTGGCTGTCCCATGTTTCCCTATCTGGATGTTTGATCTCAGGTTCCCACCCTGAAGTGTCTGTCCCCTGTTAGTCATGACGTCCAACTTCACACAATTAAACTGTCCTTTTTCTTCTTGCTGGCTGGTCCATGCAGTCCTTCTGAGTTCAGTAAGTAGTTAAGCTGTTCTTTTCAATAAAAGAGTACTTTTAGTTCCTTCTATGTTTGTTGCCTGTGCTATAGTTTAATCAGTTGGAGGGATGCTAGAGGCATGTTTTTACCCAACTTCAAGGAATATCCAAAAAAGGTTAAGTAGTGGAAATTGGAATGAATTGTCCAATGCTCTAAACAAGGGCATTCTTTCTATTCACCTTGTACACTTAATAGGGCACAGTTCAAATCTTGGAGTCTCTCTGTGATAAGAGATGGGTCTGAATGCCTGGTCTCCCCACAGTGAACAAATTGTTGCCTCTAGCATGGAAGTCTCTGCATTCCCAGTCTTGGCATCACTGGATCCTGTCTTGAAATAATTTCCAAAGACTTCCCTATGTATTGGATCCATGGTGCCAAGAAACACAGGAGTATCATAAGAGTGCTGCTGCGATTCAATCCTTATGAGTTTTCTTTCATAGGTAATGATTCTTCTTTAAAGGACTCTTGGTTGGGAAATGTTCTGTTAGACTGTTGAGTTTGATATTGTCTATTGGTTTTGGAAAACTTACTATAAATGAATAAGAACCAGTTCACAAAAAATACCCTGTGCAATATCTATATAAAAGATCCTTTTATTGCTCATTCTTATTACATTATAAACCATTTATGGAATTTAAGCAGAACTGTAATAAAGTACCTGCAGGTGATCAAGCTTCAGTCTTGACATTGTCAATCTTGGTCTAATTTTGAAGCAGCAAATACAGAAGAATGGATTATTTATCCCAGACCACCAGTTAGATTTGTTCCTGGACTAACAGTAATTTGGTGTCCATGGCATTTTAATTATGTGTCAAAACCCCCCTAGTGAAGGTAAGACTAATACACAAAGCAAGAAATAGAGATCGTTATTCAACAGGACAAGCAATAATTTAAGTATGGTTTAATGAGGAGCCATACTCATTTCAGTGTTAAATTAATTTTATGTACCATAATCTCAATGTGAAATACCAATGATATCCAACTTTAAGGTTATAACCCTGGAGATGATGAAGATGAAAGTTTTCAGCAGAGCATGGATAATAATAATTAATACTATTAATTATTTATATTACTATTATTTTATACTCTATTAATAATGGGTGTAGCTATAGCCCAAATATTAATTATTTCATGTGCATGTAAAAAGCTTTGGACGGGCTGAATACAAACGTATAAAAAAAAGAAAACTCAACACCTGTTCTTTTTAAAGCAATAAAAGCAATTTACAGTGCAACTCCTTTCTCTCCTTAAATAGTTCATTTACTGGAAAAAATACTGCGGTGATATTTAAAGAAGGACTTACAAAGAATAAAAAACATAGTAAATAAGACTGTGGAAAGTGCTACTGTTTGTCCCTGATCAATGTACTGAACAGAATTTGAAATGTATGAAATCATGAGCTGTAAATCGTGCAGTCACCTGGGATTGATGGAACCTGGGATTGATGGCACTTGAGTGTTATGATTTCTTACAAAATGGAAAGCAAGGTCTAGACCAGCAAAGGAAATTAAAAGTTTATTTGTATCAGGTGAAGTTTGTGAGCATTTGGAGTAGATTAAGTGAAATTATTAGTGTTCTGACAAGGAAAAATAAAATAGGCTTAATGAAATTCAGTGTAACAAGCATAAACGGGTACAAGCCCATTAATTGAATCTTTAATTCATTTTTTTTAATTTTCAAAATAAATTGGATACATCAGCTTTACAATAAAACTGTGTGTGCGTACCATGACTATGCAATTATTCTTTGTTTTTAAGCACATAATATGAATCAGACACTTCAAAGCAAGGGACAATTCAAATATGTTACAGTATACATCAATAAATACATAGTTGTACTTTTGAGGACAGCTAACTCTTAAGTCAACCTATAAAATGGACAATGTTTTCAATTCTAAATATTAAACACATTTTAGTAACTTTAAATAATACAACAAAAAATATTCAAAGCAAAAGACTGTCATGAAAGGGATAGTACTTTGGTTTAGTTGCCTTAAGTTCAGACATGTATGGACCCTAATTAAAGACAGAATGGCCTAGTGTATTTTTGGTTCTTGTTTTACTCTTTCACAATTGTACAGTATACTCACTTTAAAATTTATTATGATTTCTTCTGCTCTAGAGTTCAATATCATTTTCTTACATTACATGCAAATGATAGGTGATAAAGGTTAATTAAGATTAAGGGTTGGTCTCCTGCAATACTATACACTTGCCTTTTCTTCAACAGTACCTTAGGCTGAATCCAGAGTCAGTCAATCATGTTGAAATCAAGGCATGTAATGATTGAGGCATATATTCTTTGGGGTTTGACATGTTACTGTATATCCTGTTCGGAAGCTTCTGCATTCTGGATTAGCTCTTAAAACCTGTCTGTTTGTTGTCTTTCAGTTAGAATCATCACACAACTAAACTGTGAACTTGTTATCTCCCAACCAGTATTGTACTGCTTCCCAAATAGTATTTATGTTCAGCTGTACAGTTTACCCAACCCCAGCCCAAATAAAATAATTTAGCCAAGCACTTGGCCTTCTAATACAGAGGTAAGGAAATGGTCAGTTAGAAAAAACAAGCAACATTGTAGTGTGTACTCCTGGGACACTGCATTAAAAACATGGTTATGCCAAGCAACTGTGCCAATAACGACTCGCTTTTGATATTTGCTTGGCCTCTGCAAACTATTTGCATGGACTATATTTGTAAATCTATCGCTAACATGTTGGACGCCTATACAATAATTTAAGATTAAGTACACAGAAAAGTAAAAAGATTTATGAAGCTTTCTTTAGGCTCAAAACAGACACATTTGATTGTATTCCTTTCTTTTTACTTTTCAGTGTGGAATTAACCTCTGCTTGTTCCTCTGTAGCTCCCCACTCTCACCTGTACAATATATTGGGTACATGTTGCTTTGACATCGATGGCTAACAATAAACATTATATTGCTAACTTTTGCATGTACTGTATTATAAAAGCAAATACAACAATATAACAAAATAATCGTTTTTACACATGGACAAACACATATACACAATTACATAGCAATTACACTTTTTACCACTACAAACAATGGTCATTTTAATCAGTTGGCATTAACAACTACAAACCACTAGTTTTCCAATCAATTTTCAGGTAATCGGTAGCAGTTAATCTTTCCGTTAAATTGTAAGTCGTGAAGATTTTTGGAACCACAAATTAGTTTGAAAATGAGCAGTAGTATAAAGTATGATTAACACCTCAAAATTAAAGAAGGCGAGAGTTTCAAAAAAGTGGGCAAGGGTGATCGGTTTATTCAAAAATATATCTTAATCAGTTACTGAAAAGGACAATTTAGCATGTATAGCTATGATTTTATGGAGAAATGGCATTATATAATTTCTAAACATTAATGAACAAATTACCCAGTGAAGGCAAAGAACACAAGCACCCTAAGATAACAACCTGGAAACTACAGAGAATACCAGCAGACCCTGGAACATTAGTTCAGAAGAGAATAACATGGTGATCAATGAAGAAGGTGGGTGGCAATGGATAATATCAAGATGATAGATGCCTCTTTTTACTGCATAAAAAATAGGGTTAATAGCATACTTAATGTAAGTGTGCATTATCAATTGTTTGAAACGCAGCTGAACAGGACAGGCCTGGAATAAAAAGTGAACTGTTCAGAATGTTAAGCACAGCGGTGGCTCAGGTAGGTTGTTTTAGTTTCTCAAGGACTGTAGATCTCTTGCCTGATTTTAAAATAACCTAGGTGGAGAACCACACCCAGTAATATCACTGTGCAAAATGATATCTTTAAATCAGCCGTTTACTGAAAATGTTAGTCCTGCTGTAATATTAAGCACACATTGCAGCCAGAGGAAGACTGGGCAGACCAACCACCTGATATAAATCTAGATTAAGTCTTATAAGTGCATCTGAAGGAGCGCATGACGGCCAGGGAAGCTTCCTACCACACTCAATGCACGCAAAGCTGTAGGCACGAAACCACAGAGGACAGAAGTGGACAGCTCAGCCAAAATTGGCGAAAACAAAGGACTTTTTTGTACACTTCTGTATACTTTGCATCTCAATTTTAATGTGGTTGACTAATATTATACAGTAAAGGGCATTGAATTACTTGTTATAAGTAATATATTTTTTTAATTTTACAGAACGATATTTTGAAGTTCATCACACAGTAGTTGACTTTCACATAACGTATCTCACTGGATGGGGGTAGATTTTGGAATTGCAACACCTTAGAAGTGGTCTTTCTGACTTGCCACCACTCTGATCTGCCCCATTACACAGTTTTGCTGCAACCGTTTTTTTTTTAATTATTTAATCAATCATCAGCAAGATCCGTGTAGAAATTAGGAAGCTGGTTGAATCGAAGGAGGAGACTGGGAAGGACGCAAGATGAAAAAACCTGCAGCAGAACCTAAGAGCATAAAAGGATACATACGAGAGGAGGTATTTCAGCCCATTTTTGCAGTTTGGTGGACAGTACTGTAGGTCAGGGATTTCCAGTCCTGGTCCTGGGAACCCACATACCTGCTGCTCTCAAGTTACGGAAATGAACCCTTAACTAACCTAATAATAGTGATAATCTGACATATTTAGTGATTTTCACTCCCTAAACATATTACAGGTTGCCTTTTAACTCGTGCATTTCATAAGTAAATGTTGAGCAGAAAAAATAAACTTGCAAGAGGTTAGAGTCAAACAATTTGTTTTTTCAGTTAAGGATGCAATTAAGTAAAAAAAACCTCAGCAGGAATGAAAACCAGCAGGTGTGTGAGTCCCCAGTTTAAAGAGTGAGCATGACTTTAAGGAAACTTTCATCCCTAATTAAATTAAAAATCCTTTGCTTCCTGGTAAAAGCAAGTATAAGCAGCTGTTTTAAAATACCAAAAAAAGATTCTGAAAATCCATTTCAACTTTCTTTGGAATTATAATATATTAGCCTGTTAGTGACATCTACTGGAAAAGGCAGGCATTTCACAATTCATTTTTTGTTTTTTACTCCAAAGAATGATATGATAAATGAACATTTTTGCCCAAGACTATGATGAACCACTCATAGAGATTTAAAGATTGCACGTTCCAATCCAACTGAGCACACTTACATCATCTCACATATTTGAGATTTGCCTCCATCTTTAAATAGGACATTCTGTCTTTTAAATCAGCATACATGTATATGAAGAATATAAAGAAGAAAAGATCAGATGTTTTTTTTTCTTTTACTCAGCTGGCACTTGGCAGTTTGGTAGTGAAGTTCAGATTAAAAACCATTTGAGTAAAAAAAATTAAAACACCTAATTTCCTTCAGGTCAATAAGGAGGCCTGCCAAACTGTTGGACTACAACATCGAGGGGACACATTTCACATTAACTTTGGGATCATTTAAAGACACCAAATAACATAGTCATCAGGCCTTTGGAAGTGGAACATAGACTGAGACTTTGAGCAGACATAGACTTCATTTTATGTAAGGCAGGTCAGGGCTTTTCTGTGACATACAGTATGACCAAAGTAGCTGTGCTGACTGACAAGGGCTGCTGTTTCCATTATCATCCCTTTTTAATGGCAATTTGATCATTGTCCCTGACTGAGAGGTACAGTATATAGCCGAGAGTCTTTGATGTGCAAGAGAGAAAAGTACACATTATTCTCAGCCTCCTACTTGTTAATATTCTATCTGTTGTGGGGACAACCAAATGAGTGGTATTTTGTATTTAATACGGTGGGTGAATATAGACTCTGAAGAAATGTTTTAATACTTTTTTGTTTACCATAAGGGGCTTTTGGTTTGGAAAAAGTCATTTACAGTATATTGTGAGGCTATCCTCCTATACTGTATATATCTTTTTTGAAATGTTGTCCCTATATTGCCAGTATTACATGCAGGAACAGATACTACTGTATGTACGGTATAGACAGCTTATGTCTGTTTGTCTACAGACATGATAATGATGACACATACTGTACATATCTATAGGTTACCTACCCATCTTATTTAGTTCATAATATTTGAATATGTCCCTTTTACAATGCTTCCAACTAGGAGTCTGCTCAAACCTTGGTATATGGAATGAGGAATTCGTGTTCTATATGTACATATTATACAGCTACTTCCATAAAAGTGAAGAAAATCATTTTATTAAATATATTATAAAATATATGAGATATAAAGATGTATTACGTGAGGAACCTAGACTTTTACTAACAGAACATACATTCAGTGAGTATAATTTGTGGATTTTTCTTACACAAGGCAACACCATGTGTTTACATTATGTGAGATGAGAAATTGTGACCCAGGAGACTGAAGCACTTGTCTAGTGTTACAGGATGAGGCTGCCTGGTTAACTGGATTTACTGGGGACACTTGAAAAGAGGTCAAATGAAAGAGAACCAAGAGGATGAATTTATGGTGACTGTCTAGGGTGTGACAGAGTAATATAACAGTTTGGAAAAAAAATGATATGAAATGAATGGAGATGGAGACTTTATATATTTGTTAATCTCTTCTTTTCCTAATTTATTTGAACGTTTATCAAATTTTTTTCTTTGAATGTGAATAAGGTATCAAGTAGTAAATAGATGAATATACATGTCCTCTCCTCTTATCTTGTGAGCAGTTTATACTCATTGCATTTCAGGACCAGTTTTAGTATCTAAAGTTTTTTTTTCCTGTACAGGAAATTAAAAATACAGGTACTGAAACAAATTAAAATGACACTTAATTTTGTTTAATAACATGTACTATATAGAGATCTTATTTAGTAAAGTATTGTTAAATGTGTTCAAAGAGTCAATTAATTTCAATATTTATGCTAACAATGCTGACCTTTGTGTACAAAAGCGTATAATGTATGGTATGTATTTACAAATCTAACTTGACAGGTTCCAAAGCTGGTGAAATGGATGAATACTATCGTAAGTGGAAACAAAAAATACTATATATATAGATATTTATTTTTCAGGTCTTCATATATTTCCAGGTTCATGTTAATAATTTGTTTCAATTGTATATTTTCTGCACATCATAGTTAATGAAGTTTGTCTCTGTTGTGCATTCCATATAACTGAAATGCTGCTGTGAGCTATAAATATCTCACATTCAATAAAATAACTACTGGGAGACATTTTTCCCTGAAACTAATACTAAATTCAATAAGCTGCAAATTTCTCCCAGGGGATGATTTGTGCTTGGATCTGAATGGCCATTTCTAAAGATGTCTGAAGGAAGTTCTTTCTCACACAATAATATTAAATTATTAAACAGGCACAGAATAGGAAAGGCCACCATTTAAAAAGAAACGGTGCCTCACATATACAGTGTGTGTGACCAGTTTTAGAGTCTATATTACTCATTTTTTTTACTCACTCTATGCCCAGCATCACAAATATATTTGCAAATACATGTATCTGTCCAATCCTTAAAAATGTCCTTCTGACATGAATAAGAAAGTTGTCTCATGTCTGTGATGGTAGTCACATGTAACTCTTTTCACCAGAAACCTTTAACAAGAGCAAATACCTAACACTCCCTAGTTTCACAATTTCCAGTAAAAGAAGAACACATTTGATTACCATCAACCTTTACTAACATGTACTGCAATGCCTATTTAGAGATGGCAATATTATCAGGGATCCATATTACAGTATATTACTAATGCATGGGTATTAGCAATCAATGAATAATATTTTCCTCACCCAAGTATTGAAAGTTTTTCCTCATCACACACTGAGTGAATGGTCCCATTTTTCTTTAACAGGTCTCAGTAGCAGTCGTAAATCTAAAATTTTATATATCAGTCTCCTTCAGCCCATAGCAGTCTGTAAGATCATATATTTGATAATCATTTTGGTCTGCAAAGTCATTGCAGATTCCCATGGAAATGGAATCTATTTCCACTTTACTGAGTGAGGACACAGAGCTCTTATTTGGCACATTCTTGATCTTGTTTGAAAGATTGTTCATTTTTTCCTTTAGCTGGAAAGATGAGTTCTGTAAAGGGGGAAAAAAATTCCATCCTTGGAGACCCAGAGTTCTTCCCTTGCCATTGTAAACAAAAGAGTTATTGATTGAAAATGACTCTCTTAGAGAAAACCTGGGCTTAATGTCTCCATAAGAGCCATGTCCCGAGCTGTTGATGGAAGTTCTCCACCTCTGGTCATAGAACCTCCACAGAGATCGTCTCCTTCTGTGACACTGGCACTTCAGAAGTCTTATGAAGGCTCTCTTGAACTCTTTGCTGGAGCAGGGGTAAATAATTGGGTTAACACAGCTGTTGAAATACCCCAGCCAAAAGATTACTTTGAAGACCACTTTTGAAGGTTTCAGTGCAGGGAAAAACGAGCCTATAAAATAAAAGTAAGAAATTTAATTCAGACAAACAAATGGTTTTATATTTGTACTTTACGGTCTGCAGAGGAGTACAATTCACCACCTTAACAGATGGATTCTGAGATTATGCGGACATTGGCGAAATGACCCATTAACGCATAACTTTCAGGATGATTCTCTCTGTTTTTTACAGGACATTCTGACCTCCAATACAAGTTCAAAATACTGTATGTCATCCTCTGTGGGCTGAAGATCTGTGCTTTTTTATGTTTTGTCATGCTTTTTATGTTTTTATTTTTTTAAACAATAGTGCATTTCTCCATGAGCAGCTTAATTGTGACTATTACTTAGAACAGGAAAAAGTCAAAAATAAAATTAAACATGTTGTAAAAGGGGTCATTACATTTAATGTGGCACATTTGATGTACCACATTATAGTATTAGGGGAGCAGACCGCACACATTTAATTTCACCACACATTCTACAGTAGCTCCAGCATTAGCAGCTATTTAAGTATTTTTTAGATTTTATGCAGATGTTTCTCCTGAAACCTGGAAGAAATTGATGTTTTCAACAATTCATTTGAAAATACTGTAACGCAACGGGGGCTCAGGCGGGCGCCCTTGCCGCATTAGGTCAGCCCCTGCACCCTCCGGGGCTCGAACCCGGGACTTCCGCGTCTCTCTGCAGCGACCTAGCCCCGTGAGCCAAAGAGAGATCTCTCCACAGCCCAGTAGCTGTGGTCCTGCTATCAC